CATCAATTCCCCCCAAGATTGCTTCTAGAGAGGTGGTCGGTTTTTGAGGTAGGAAGCAAACAGGTGAAGCTCTGGCTACCCGCCTGGTTGGTGCCCCCCCCCCCAGGTGGCTCCATGGCAAATCCCATTATCCTCAGCCAAGGAGTGTTTCCCCTGAGACAGTGCGGTAGTTTAAACCAGTGTTTCTCCAACTTGGCCACTTGAACACGGGTGGACTTCAACTCCCAGAATTCCCCAGCCAGCAGGGCTTTGCCCACATCCAGCAGGAATAGGACGAGAAGAGATGCGGCTAAAGTACTTTACTACATTTTTTTGGGTAGCTTCCTTAATAGACGGTGGGAATGCGGTAGACATAATATAACTTGACTTCTGCAAAATGAAAAAAAAAAATGGCTGGCTGGGGAAGGCTGGGAGTTGAAGTCCACCCATCTTCAAGGGGCCAGGCTTGAGAAGAACAGCAGCTGGGCCAGGCCAGTGGCAGAATTAGCCCCCAATGGCTGCCCTGCTCCCGATCAGGGTGTTTCTCAAAATTCAGCAACAACGAAGCACAACTTTGTTGCTGCCATTCAAGCCGTTGAAGGTGGACGGACTACAAGTGGTCCTTGACTTACACGTTTTTAAGAAGAGACTGGACAGCCATTTGTCTGAAATGGTCTAGGGCAGGGGTAGGCAACCTTGGCTCTTTTATGACTTGTGGACTTCAACTCCCAGAATTCCTGAGCCAGCTAAGCTGGCTCAGGAATTCTGGGAATTGAAGTCCACGAGTCATAAAAGAGCCAAGGTTGCCTACCCCTGGTCTAGGGTTTCTTGCCTGAGCAGGGGGATGGACTAGATGACCTTGCAACAACAACAACAACAACAACTTCTTCTTCCTCTTCCTCTTCCTCTTCCTCTTCCTCTTCCTCTTCTTCTTCCTCTTCTTCTTCTTCTTCTTCTTCTTCTTCCTTCCTCCTCCTCCTCCTCCTCCTCCTCCTCCTCCTCCTTCTTCTTCTTCTTCCTCTTCTTCCTCTTCTTCTTCTTCTTCTTCTTCTTCTTCTTCTTCTTCTTCTTCTTCTTATTATTATTATTATTATTATTATTATTATTATTATTATTATTATTATTATTATTATTATTATTATTATTATTATTATTATTATTATTATTATTATTCTCCTCCTCCTCCTCCTCGGCTGAAATCAGCACAACCTGCTATGTTTGTGGCTCAAAAAATGATGCACCATTTTTCTGCACAGCAAGAAACTATCCGGAGGTTAGGCCATAACCCACCCACCCCGAGGAGAACTTACTCACACCTCCAGCGTGGACTCCTTGACACTGTTTTGCAAGAGGTGGGGGGGGAAAAATTACTGAACAAGCATTTTTCCAGAAGGGAGACGTTTGCTGACAAGGCAGAATCTCCAAAATTTTGTCCGGGGGAATTTGCTGTGAACACAAAATTCCCACCCAGAAGTCCACAACCGGGTCACCTTTTTCTGGTCCGGCTTGCAAAGCTGGAAGTGCAGAAATAAAAAACACCTTTTGCCCTACGGGAGATTCAGACGTTGCCTGATTTTCTCATCAAGGACTTTATAATGCTAGTCTTTGACTTACAGTACTTCATTTAGTGACTGGGACCCTTTGATGACTAGTGGACTTCAACTCCCAGAATTCCTCAGCCAGCGTGAGGGAACTATGACCCTTTTGTGACTTGTGGACTTCAATTCCCAGAATTCCTCAGTCAGGAAACTCTATCATTTCAGACAAATGGCTGTCCAGTCTCTTCTTAAAAACCTCCAGTGTTGGAGCATTCGCTGCTTCTGCAGGCAAGCCCCGTTCCACCAATTATTTGTTCTAATTTCTAATTTCCAGCAAACTTTCTCCATTTCTGCCCTGCTGTGCTAGTCACTCATTTCTGTCAATATTGATAAAAAGCACCCGGATTACAAAATTAGGGCCATTGCTGCAGGTATAGAATAATGATAATAGGAATAGGAATAGGAATAGGAATAGGAATAGGAATAGGAATAGGAATAGAATAGAATAGAATAGAACAGAATATAGAAAAGGAATAGAATAGAGTAGAATAGAATAGAATAGAATAGAATAATAAAATATAGAATAGAATAGAATAATAAAAAATAACAGAATAGAATAGAATAGTAGGAAGGGACCTTGGGGGTCATCTAGTCCAACCCCCTGCTCAGGCAGGAAACCCTATACCATTTCGAACAAATGGCTGTCCAGTTTCTTCTTAAAAACTTCCAGTGTTGGAGCCTTCACCGCTTCTGGTGGCAGGTAGTTCCACTGGTTAATTGTCCTCACTGTCAGGAAGTTTCTCCTTAGTTCCAGGTTGCTTCTCTCCTTGATTAGTTTCCACCCGTTGCTTCTTGTCCTGCCTTCAGGCGCTTTGGAGAAGAGCTTGACTCCCTCTTCTTTGGGCCAGCCCCTCAGATCCCAATTGTGTCGTAAGTCGGGGACTGCCTGTAAGCTGGGATGCTCAGCCTTCCCCTGTGTTCCTTGCCAGCCTCCGAGCATCATCGCTTACCCCCTGCACACCACGACTGTGTGATCCTTTGCACACACAACCAGTCCGACACAAACCCAGAATTCCCGCTGGGAGGTGCTTGGAAAACGCTCCTTTGCGGGTCAAGAGTCAGAGTGTGCTCCCAACACCCCGAGATTGGGTGTTAGGAGGAGATTTTGTGCGGTTGTGTGCTTTTTTTTTTTTGTGGTCTCATCTCCCCTTCCCCCCAACCCGCCACGTTTTAGAAGCCCCAGTGGGAGGGTGTTCTGCAGGCTCCGCTGACTCCTTCGCATCGGCAGTTTGAACTGCCAGGAAGAACCGTAATTATTCCTTTTCCTACGGGATCTCTCGAATAGAAACAGAGAAGAAATCGAGACGGTGGTGGAGCAGAGAGGGTGACAATCCCCCCCCTCCAAAAAATCCTTCTTAAATCCCTTCTTCGGTTTTGTTCCAAGCCTGTGTTTATTCTGCATTGTGGTTAATTGCAAAGTCAGCCAGATGTGGAGGCTGGATTTGGCCTCTTTATCCAGCTCTAAGATCCTTCCCGAGGATCTGGGATAGACAGATGTGGTTGTTTGATGGCGTTAAGGAGGGAAGTTATATTATTACAGTTGGTTGCAAAGTCTGCCAGAGGTTGAGGCTGGATTTGGCCTCTCTATCCACCTCTAAGGTCCTTCCCAGGGATCTGGGGTAGACAGATGTGGCTGTTTGACAGCGTTAAGGAGGGAAGTTATATTATTACAGTTGGTTGCAAAGTCTGCCAGATGTTGAGGCTGGATTTGGCCTCTTTATCCATCTCTCTGGTCCTTCCCAAGGAT